AATTCTTTTGAAATCCTTATCAGGGAGTTCCAATGTTGCATCTTCCTCAGGGATGTGTTTTGGGTCTGTATCCTGGCCCCTTGTTTCTCCTGCTTTATCTTGTTTCTTTGTGTGGACTGTGATGCTCTGTTGTCTCTGAGGCATTGTGACGTTTTTGTGTTTATATTTAATTGGTGATTGTATGTCGGAGTGACTTGTCCACAATTTTCATTGCCTTTGTTTTGTTTGTATGCTATCTACATAAGCAGGGTACTGTGCTGTGCTCCTCGAGTCACTAGTTGACAGCACTTATACACTTACCACCTGTCTCCTTTCCTGTTGTCAGTCTCTCATATGTCCCTGCTGTCCTTGTCAAACAGAGCCTATTCTTAGGTCCTATTTTCATTCAGGTTTTTCCAATAGTTGGTGCCTCATCCACTGCTGTGCTCTTCCTTTCAAAGCCCAGGGGTCCAGGATTATCTTCTGTATCTCTGTCAATTGGTTTCTCTTTTCTTTGTTGAGGAGGGTCTGTGTGGCTTGTCTTCCTTTTCCTCCATCTTACTGGAAGTCCTACCATTGGTTCTTGATCATATGCTACCTCCTGAAATAGCTGAATGTTAACCAATTACTTTTGGTACAGTGACTCTGTATTCTTTCCATCTTCTTTTGATGTTTCCTGCATCATTCAATATTTTGTCCTAGAATCCTTCAATATTGCAATTCAAGGCTTTAATTTTTTTTTCAGCTCTTTCAGCTTGAGAATTGCCAAGGGTGTTCTTCTATTTTGGTTTTCTAACTCCAGGTCTTTGGACATTTCATTATAATAATTTACTTTGTTGTTTTGAGCTGCTGAAATCTTTTGTTCAGCTCTTTTATTTCAACATTTCTCCCTTTTGCTTTATCTACTCTCTGTTCAAGAGCAAGTTTCAGAGTTGCTTCTGACATCTGTTTTGGTCTTTTCTTCCTTTCTTGTCTCTTTAATGACCTTTTGTTTTCTTCATGGATGATGCTCTTGATGTCATCCCACAACTCCTCTGGTCTTCGATCACTGGTGTTCAATGTGTCAAATTTATTCTTCAGATGGCCTCTAAATTCAGGTGGGAGATACTCAAGGTCATATTTTGGCTCTCATGGACTTGTTTTAATTTTCTTCAGCTTCAACTTGAACTTGCATATGACTAGTTGATGGTCTGTTCCACAATCAGTTCCTGGCCTTGTTTTGACTGATGATATTAAGCTTCTCCATCACTTTTTCCACAGATGTAGTTGATTTGATTTCTGTGTATTCCATCTGGTTAGGTCCTTATGTATAGTCATCATTTATGTTGTTAAAAAAGGCATTTGCAATGAATAAGTTGTTGGTCTATCATGTGATCTCCAGTCATTTCTATCACCAAAGCCATACTTTCCAACTACCGACGATTCTTCTTGTTTCCAACTTTCACATTCCAATCACCAGCAATTATCAATACATCTTGACTGCAGGTTTGGTCAATTTCAGACTGCAGAAGTTGGTAAAAATCTTTAATTTCTTCATTGTTTGCTTTGGTGTTGGCGTGTAAATTTGAATTATATATAGTTGTATTGACTGTTCTTCCTTGTAGGCAAATAGATATTATTCTATCACTGATAGCACTGCACTTCAGGATAGATCTTAAAATTTTCTTTTTGATGATGAATGCCATTCCTCTTCAATTTTTCATTCCCAACATAGACCAGGATTGTCTGATTCAAAATGGCCAATACTAGTCCATTTTGGCTCACTAATGCCTAGGTATCAATCTTTATGTGTTCCATTTCATTTTTGACAACTTCCAATTTTTTGAGATTCATATTTTGTACATCCCACATTCCAATTATTAATGGATGTTTGCAGCTGTTTCTTCCCATTTTGAGTCATGCCCTATCAGCAAATGAAGGTCCTAAAAACACTACTCCATTCATGTCATTAAGGTCGACTCTACTTAGAAAAGCTAGAGATCTACAGTGTAGTTGTTGTTGGGTGCCATCAAGTTGATTAGAACTGATGGAGTAGAATTGCCTGATAGAGTTTCCTAGGCTATGATCTTTACAGGAGCAGACTGCCAGGTCTTTCTCCTGCAAAGCTGCTGAGTGGGCTCAAACCACCAACCTTTCAGTTATCAGTCGAGCATTTAACTGATGCACCATCAGGGCTTCTAAGATAACTGTAATAGGTCTGTCCTAATCCTAAATAGGTCTAATAAATATGCCTTACCCTTCGGGTCTATTTTAAATACTGCTTTAAAAGCACCTTGGCTATCTTTATTCTTTCCTGCCTCACTAAACAATTCACCTGTAACATTCTACACACCCTTACAGAGAACTAAATGAAATGCTTGCTGGTTCCTTAAGCTTGAAGCCTTCTGACCTGGCATGATTAATCCTTCTTATCTTTTATATCTACCATTTATAAGAAATTTGTTGTTTTAATGTAGGAGAATTAAAAGGAGATAGGGGTTTTATAACACTAACTCACTAGTAAAAGTAAGAAAAATCCCTGGTTTCTAATTCCATACAACTTCTAGCCCAAAATCAAAAGCTCTCACTCAAACTAAATTTAAATCAACACAAGAAAGGTCTGTTTCTCTGTCTTGTCTCCTGCGATGTGAATTTCTTAAAAGCATGGCAGGGGCTATGTATATTCTAAAGATACTGGGATGCTAGGAGGGTAAACCCAGACATAGTGGGGGAAATAATTACATATCTGAAGAGTTCAATTCCTAGCCCTGCTACAATGTGACTAGGAGCAGATTATTTGGTCTCTCTGGGCTTTGTCGCTCATTTATAAAGTGGAAATAAGAACTACTGAAGGGGTTCGGGTGAAGGTGTAAATGCAATATAAACCACAAAAAAACCAAACTCACTGCTGTTGAATCGATCCTGACTCATAGTGACCCCTCCGTGGGTTTCCAAGGCAGTATCTCTATGAAAGCAGACTGCCCAATCTTCCTTCTCAGGAGTGGCTAGTGGGTTTGAACCACCAGCCTTCTGGTTAGCAGTCAAATGCCTTAGGCACTATGCTATATAATGTCTATAAAAGTGCCTGCAAATCATTAAAATCCATATAAATCTCAGAGATGACTATTAGCAATAACATCACCAACATCTCCTTTATGTGAAACTCACATAGAAGGAAGAGGTGAAGCAGAGCTAATGGAAAAGTAGCTCAAGTGCCAGAAGCCTTGAGAACTGAGGGGATTCTGGAACAAAGAATGGGACATGTGCCCAGTTTCTTACCCGGTGTTCTGCCAGAAACTCAGGTGTCAGAGTCCAGGGGGCATTCCTCACCACCTCATCCACATAGCGGCAATGCTGCACTGCATCATAGCGCTCATTTTCATTCATCACTGTGAAGCCTTTGAAGTTGTGTGTCAGCTCATCACTGCAGACTGAATTCACCGCATCATAAAGTGGTAAGTCAAGGTCCCCTTTGCTTACCTACTCTGCAGTCCCCAACCTCTCCCATATTCTCCCACTTCCTAGGACTGCAACAACCCTACCCATCTGGAAAAGAATCTTCTGGATATAGCTTAGTCTGCATAATAATGCTTTCACTACTTCAAGATACACATTCAGGAACAACACTCACTAAATAGTATGTACACACTGAAAAGGAAAAGTAAAAAGGGACACTGAGATTTTCACTTTGAAATGAACTGCTGTGTTAATACAACAATTAAATTATCTAAAATGATAAACTGAAATCTAGAGCAAATGCTGTTTGCTCTAAATACTAGTCAGTGTGACTCTCATGACTTGAGCAACTCAGCTGAAAGCAGTGAGGAAAAATACTGGACATCTCAGCTCAATAAGGCCTAAACCAATGGCCTCTCCAGGCTGAGGGTGCTGGCACCTCATATCTTTCATGCTACAGAGAGGTTGTACTGTATTAACCCTTCAAAAACTGGACCAAAAGCCAATGTACTCAGGTTATAAAGACAGGAGAGAGAAAAAGACTTCTATCATCTTCTTCTGGAGAGACAGCACCTAAAGGCACCAAATGTTTTCTTACCTCCCACGATGAGGTATGTATTAGGGAAAAGGTTCTTTGCTTGCATCAGAGCTCGGGCATGTCCGGAGTGAAATAAGTCAAATATTCCATCTGCATAAACTCTCACTGGCCGTTCGTCTAAATGCAAAGGAAAAATTGTACTACACAAATATCTTTACTCAATACCTCATATTTGACAAACTGAAGTGGCATTGTGTGGCTGTTCTACCCCTGCATGCATCTTTCTTAAGATGTTCTCTGGGTATGCACCCTGACTTGGGGGTGGAGTGGAGTTGTAAGGAATATCATCACAGACTTCCTTAGACAAAGACCCTCCTGACATCATCTCCATTAACTCTTTTTGTAACTTTGATTGTCCCAAACTGCTCAGGTAACTGGATTTCATGAATGCTTTTTCTTAAATTATTTCAGAACGGAAGGGGGAGAGTACTACAACAGACATGTTCTCAATTTCATAATCCTCACCTTCAGTTTATGTGTAAAGTTCCTACTGTAACCTGGCTGTTCTCTTGTTTTCAAGCTGCCTTGATTACTAATGACTAATGAGCTGCTTTGAAAATAAACCTCTCTACTAATGCACAGAGAGTAAGGGGGGATATAGAAGGATGAAACAGAAAGAGGGTGAAAGGAAGTAGCTAAGTGGATCAGTTATCAATTTACTGCTTCTCAGCTCCAAATTAACCCTTCAATACCTGCTCTGGGATAACAAATGAAATTCCTGTAAATATTTTTCCTTTTATAGTGAGCATGATTTTAAGCTTTTACAGTAGACGATGACATACTAAGTATGTGAAAATCAAATATAAGTATTTTAGAACTCTTCATTATAGCATTTCCTTTTCTCTCCTCCATTAGTGAGAATAACAGAGAACTGGTTGTCAAGTTATTTTGAGTGGTAGTGGCCTATGAAAGATAAGCTGGGAAATGATCTCTTGGGGGTACAATATTAGTTCTAAAGTCAAATAAACACATTAAGAATGAAATTGGCATAATGAATCATCATGTTTCAAATGATACATCTAAAGAGTCCTAACTTCCTCTTACTATGTGAGTAAAGAAAGAGCTATAGTAGCAGTAGAAGGAAGTAACAGTTGTAGCAGTTACATCAATCTGAGAAGGAAGGATTATAGCCTCATCAGATATACCATACTTGGGGTGGGGTAAGACCCAGCTCCCTCCTGTCTTGAGGACAATGAATCAGGGAGAAAGAAATTGCTTCTCCGGAGGTTTATCTCTTTTCAGATGCTTTTACCCATAATCAAGTAGCTTTTAAAACAAAGTCATACACTGCTGATACAAAAATAAATTGGTACAACTTCTAAGAAAGGTAATTAAGTATTATCTGTCAAAAGACAAATGACGAACGTTCATATCCTGTGACGCAGCTTTTCCAATTCCAGAAATTTATCTCATATTTGCAAATATGTACAAGTTATTCATGCAGCATTGTTTGCAACAGTAAAAGTTTGGAAACAATCTAAATTTCAGTGTAAGACTAGTTAAATATATCATGATACAGTCACTAAAAGGGCAGGAGAATATATATCCTATCTGTTTGGATATCCACAAGAAACTTAACACTGCTTGCCTATAAGAGGGGTACTGGGTGGCTTTGAGACAGAGGAGAGAGCAAGATATTTCACTTCATATACTTTGTACTTTTTGAATATTCAACTATGGGAATGCCTTAATTTTATAACATAGAAAATGAAATTAAAATACACCAATACAACAAAAACTGAGGAACAGCATAATGGATTTAAGCATCAGAAAGGATTTCAGTACAAACTTGAACTAACTCCCTTGCCTGTGTGACCATAATGTCTTTAAGCCTCAGTTTCCTCACCTATAAAACAAACAAACAAAAAAATCTGAGTAATATAATCCCTCTTATATAACCTAGAAATCATGACTGTAAAGTTACTAAGATACTTTCATTTTTCCTAGACAAGTCCAGAGAGGCTATGATCTTACTTTACTTGACCCTACATGACAAAGGATAGAACACAAAAATTAAGAATATTTTGTTATTGCCTTCTTGCTACTAGACAGTGTACAGCAAGGGCAAAGTAAAACCAAAACACAAAAAAGCAAAATCACTGCCATCAAGTCAACTCCAAGTCACAGCAACCTCCATTGAGTTTCCAAGGCAGTAAATTTTCACAGAAGCAGATGGCCTCATCTTTCTTCTTCAGAGTAGATGGTGGCTTCGAACCAACTTTCTTAACAGCCAAATGCCTTAACCACTACACCACCAGAGCTCCAAGGAAAAGTAAAATGAGGGAGATTTTGCTCAGTAAAACACATTTCCTGGATGATGGCAACAGCACAGAATGCTGTTGACTAAGTGACAGCCAGTATAGTTAATCATCCATGTTAAGCCAAGGGTATCTATCACTGAATCCTTTCTGATCAACTCCAGATGTGTCTCTTTGGGGTTTCCTCAGCTTCCCCCTGCCTTCAATCTAACAACTCAATTCTTTATCACTTAACCCTATGCACTGCTGTGCAGTCAGATCCCATTCATTGTGACCCCTCCTTGGGTTTCCGAGGCAGTATCACTATGGAAGTAGATTGCCCAACCTTCCCTCCGAGGAGTGGCTGGTGAGTTTGAACCTCCAGCCTTCTGGTTAGCAGTCAAATGCCTTAGGCACTACGCCACCAGAGCGCACTTAAACCCTAAATCTTTGGCAAATCCAGGCTGGTCTATTAACCACAGGGCCAGAAGGGGCCACTGTTGGACCGGGAAGTCTGGGAGAGAGCAAGAATAAACCATTCCTTTACAAGTGGCTATTGCCCAGGTAAGGCATTTGGCTGTTAACCAGAAGGTTGGCAGTTCAAACCCAGCAGCTGCTACGCAGGAAGAAGATGAGGCAATCTAATTCCATAAAGGGTTACGACCTTGGAAACCCAATGGGGGTCACTATGAGTCAGAATGGACTCGACAGCAATGGGTTTGGCTTTTGGTACTACCCAGTATGCTTCATCCCCTGGTTTAGGCCTGCTGTCTCAGGGTATTGTAGTGATCCTTTTTCAATCTCAAACTGCCCTGATTTTGTTTATACAGTCATACTAATATGACTCTATAATGTAGTATAATATAATAATGGCTAAGTAATCAGATGTCCTCCTTTAAGCAGAACAGATCTGGGTTTCAATTCATCCTCTTTCAGTCTGTTTTTCCAAGTACCTATCACTGATACATTTTATCCCTAACAGAGTTCCTTCCACTGTCCCTCAGTTTCCCTTTTTCCTCCTTTCTCCTAGTGAAACACAGTGGTCCCCCTTTTCCTTTTTTTTTTTTTTTCAAAAGTGACTTCCTCTCTCAAGTCACACTTGTTTTTTGTCTGGGTGTAGAGTTTTCTCGTAGATTATACAAACTTCCCTCTTTAACTCCCTTAACCTTCCTAGTGAAACCAGCTGTTGTTAATTGCAGCCACTGGAATCCCCCATGTACACGCAGTAACTGCTCCACAGGGTGAGACGTTCCAGAAGACAACTGCAAGGCCTGTCTTCAGAGGTGCCTCTGAATGGGTTCAGACTGCCAACCTCCGGCCAGTAGCCTAGTGCTTAACTGTCCACATCAATCAAGGTCTCCTAACAGTTACTGGTTTAAAATTCACTAACTATGAAATGCATACATTATTTATTGGTTTAATCTTTGTCCTGCATCGGCACGAAGGCATTCAATTATTTAGTATTTAATGTAAAATAGAATAGAGAGAATGCGATATAAGGGAAAAAACAGAGATCAAATTAGACCAGCAAACTTTAAAGACTGTATTTTGACTCTGTTCTGCCTGCAACACAGTCATTTTGCCAATAGCTATCTATTATTACTAATGTCTCTAAAGAATAGCACCACTCCAGGGTTGAAAGGAAGGTTGGGCAATCTACTTCTGTAGTGATACTGCCTCGGCAACCCAAGGAGGGGTTGCTATGAGTCGGGGCTGACTTCACGACACATAACAACGACAACAGGATGAAAGGAGCACAGCGCTGGAAAAACCTAGGTTTTATCTCCAATTGTATCACCAATTACTTGTTTTACTGTATGGGAGTCTTTAATTCTCAGTTTCTATGGACCTTAATCTTGGAAGGAAGGTTGGGCAATCCTACTTCCGTAGTGATACTGCTTCGGAAACCCAAGGAGGGGTCGCTATGAGTCGGGGCCGACTCGACGGCACATAACAACAACAACAATGGACCTTAATTTCCTCATATATATAATGAAGATACTAAAAAGCAGATAATCTCAAAGGTTACATAAACTTGTAAAATTCTATTATTCTAAAATTAAATTTAATTTCAGAATTTGGGAACAGTACACATTAGTTTTAATTTTTATGTACAACAAAAGGCCCAAGGATAAATCAGCAACAAGCTGGGTGGCACAGCTAATTCGATCATACCTGGGGGAGATACTGAACTCTAAATGTGTCATTAGAGAGTTCGTAAAAAAGTTCTTGTCTTCAACAGGTTCTACTACCACATGTCTGAATGGGACCCTTGAACTGTCTGTCAGCATTTTGAAACGTCAACTGCCACCATTATACCCTGCTACATACAGTCTTTGTGAAGAGATTTAACCTTTTCATCACTTTACCCTGCCCTACCAGCAAGTAAGGAAAGCCAAACCTAAAAATCACATCATGGTTAGAAGGGTTGTGATCAACACATGCTATTCTAAACTCTTTTGTAAAAGCAAAGCATTCCCTAAAATTAACCTCTCTTCTTCAGGCCCCAAAACTGTAATCCATATGTGATAGTTGAAGATGTGTCAACTTGGCTGGACTCCAGTTGTGAGTGGTGGTTCCCATTATGGATCACATGACTGAGTTCTGAGCGGCCGGTCTGCCCAGGGGGTGTTTCTTCAGGGCTGTGGCCTACCTGCAATGCTATCCCAGGGACAAGCTGGAAGAACGGCATTCCGGACTATATACTTCCTGGAGCGAGCAGCTCGCTGCTCGCCCTGGAGGTTTTCGGATTCATTCTTTGTTGGGAACAGCGACCAGCGCGCTGCGTGTCAGCTTGATTCTCTCGGCTCTGTTGTGCTTACGGGAACCAGGCGGCTCCGGGCCTCATCCCCCTCCAGAGACGAACTTTGTGGCTTGAACTCCTCTGCCGTGCATGCGAAAGCCAGACGGCTCTGGGCCCCATCCCCCTCCAGAGACGAACTTTTCAGCTTGAACTTGTCGGCTTCTACACGCTTGTGAGCCATTTATCTAAGATAAATTTCTCTCTCTCTCTCTCTATAGATATATATATATATACTTTGCTGGTTTTTGTGTTTCTCTAGAGAACCCAATCCAACATACCATATAACCAAGAAGTCTTGGGATCCCTAGCCTAATAGTGTCCAGTATTCATTTCTATTCATATTTCATTAGTCCCCAGTTATAACAGATAGCAAACATACTAACACAATTAAGAGGTAACCACAAACATTCCCCTTACACTAAAAATGTACTAATCTGTAGCTATAACTACCTCTTATCTCCTGGTGTTTGCCTGAGTTGAAATCCATGTGTACATTTACAGAGTAAACATTTAACCACAGTCATCAGGAGAATTGGGCAGGGGGGGAAAGGGAGACTTGGAGAATTTACAGAGAAGGACAGCTGCTCATAGTATTTTGTACTCCTAACAGTGGCAGTTTCTATTGATGATGATGCCTAAAACCAATTTCCCAAAATGGAGAGGGCATCTAAAATAGAATACAGGTGGTCAAAAATTGCTAATTAATGATATAAACTAAGCATACTAATATGAGTATGGACTTTGAAAATTATAATAGAGTTTTTTTAAAAAAAAGACTTGGGAAATTATAGTATCAATAAAGATGAAAGTAAGTGATGAGTATCTCCTAACATGGTATGTATTTCTTACTGATCAGCAGCAGCCTTGCTCGGACACAGACTGATAGAATGTAGGAAGACTCGGGGGACAGTTCTGAAGGTTATAAAAATGTAACAGAGACATATTTTTGGACCTTTGTAAAAATGGACAAAATTATAATCCAACTCAGCTTAACATTTCATTGTCTCTGCTCTACCTCATAGTGATGACAATAGCCTGGGAAGCAAGTATATAAATAATAAAAAGAAAATAAAAATGTATGGAGCAGAGTTATCCTCCCAAATAGCAAGGTAGAGGGGAGAAGCGCCCTCCCCCAATTTGCCTTGATGGGTAAAGTGGGAAGAATATAGAGAGTCAGTATATATTTGGTAAATAAATACAGTCAGATGCTAAAAATAATAGTAAAATGACAGGCATTTACTTACAAGGGGTTCCTCTGCAAGCTTCTTCCATAGTTACCCTGACATAGGGCTTACTAAAGTCCATTTCAATTTCATCAGCGAAGGGAGCTGGCTCCCGTAAACCCTTAAGAAGAGAAATGTAAAAGAAAACAAAATTAAATTCAACGGTACACAATAAAAGACTCAAAATATGGCAAATTTAAAGAACAATTAGTTATGCAATATGCTAAGATTAAAATTCCCATTAAAACTTCTTAACATGGAGAAAAAGAAGTATTTCAAAATGATAAGTGAATGTTGCAACCTTTAATAACATGGTAAATCATGGCATGAAAGAAATATCTTGCTGTGATTTCAGGGTAAGACTGGCTGGGAGCCTAAACACAGTGGCTCCTAATCGACCCTGAATGGCTGCTTTTCTGCAGCATGGCAGAACAACCAATCCTGTACCATGTGAAGGAACCTCCATAGTTCATAAGTGTGTTCTCATACCACTTCAACTGGGGGATTGGGAAGGAAAACAGCTTTTGTGTGCTTTATTAAGTACAATTAACACCGTGTAATGTTTTATCGTAAATATAATCTAATGCTCATAACAGCACTCCAGGACAAGCAGTACTTTGGTTACTATCCTCAATTTAAAGATGAGGAAAATGAAGCCCAGAAAGTTAGGTGAACCGTACACAATCACTAAGAGACAAAGCCAAAATAAGAATGGAGGCATGCCATTCCCTCTACAGATGGCCTCCCTTAGAGAGTTTTTGTCAAATTGTTCCTAAGTATTTTATTCCATTTGATGTTACTGTGAATGGAACTGTTTCCTTATTTTTGTTTGGAACATTCAATACTGGTATACAGAAATGCAATTGACTCCTCTGTGTAACTGCAGTTGATTTTTGTATATCAGTCTCATGTCCTGTGACTTTGTTATTATTGTTAGGTGCTGTCGAGTCAGCTCTGACTCACAGTGACCCCATGTACAACAGAACGAAACACTGCCTGGTCCTATGCCAGCCCTACAGTCCTTGCTATACCTGAGCCCACTGATGCAACCACTATGTCAATCCATCTCATCAAGGGCCTTCCCCTTTTTTGTTGACCCTCCACTTTAACAAGCATGATATCTTTCTCCAGGGAATGGTCCCTTCTGACAACGACCAAAGTAGGTGAGACGAAGTCTGGCCATTCTTGCTTCCAAGGATCATTCCAGCTGCACTTCTTCCAGGACAGATTTGTTTGTTCTTTTGGCAGTCCATGAACTTTCAGTATTCTTCGTCAACACCACAACTCAAAAATATCAACTGTTCTTCGGCCTTCCTTGTTCATTGTCCAGCTCTCACATGCGTTAAGAGGCAATTGAAAATACCATGGCTTGGGTTAGGCGCACCTTAGTCTTCAAGGAGATGTCTTTGCTCTTCAGCACTTGAAAGAGGTCTTTTGCAGTAGATTTGCCCAGTGCAATATGTCATCTGATGTCTTGACTGCTGCTTCCATTGGTGTTGATTATGGAACTAAATAATATGGAATCTTTAACAACGTCAATCTTTTCTCCATTTATTGTGATGCTGCTTATTGGTCCCTTTGTGAGGATTTTCATTTTCTTTAAGTTGAGATGTAATCCATACATCAGACTCAAGTCTTTAATCTTCATCAGTAAGTGCTTCAAATCATCCTCACTTTCAGTAAGCAAAGTTGTGTCATCTGCATATTGCAGGTTGTTAGTCTTCCTCCAATTCTGATGCCACATTCTTCTTCATATAGTCCAGCTTCTCAGATTATTTG